TGCCATTGTGTAAAAACAGAACATTTCTATAAAATAATCCATGATAGGTTAAATTACAAATTATTCTCACTATTAATAGTCAAAAATCTATGAGATACACCCAAGTGTTCAAGAAAAAAAATCTTTGTTCCTTCAGGAATGGAAGTATAACCAACCCACTGTCATAAAGTTACTCTTCCTTTGTCTGTTAGATGGGATTAGATTGGTCTCTTGCTTACCATTTATTTTTATGAAAGTTAAGAGATGCAAGCTTCCAGTCATTATTCCCTCCATTGACAATGTAAAGATATAGTATGTTTCTTCTCAGCTCTGCAGAGCAGAACCACGATAAACACACAAAAATAAATTCAATAACATTTCTCTGTCATCAAGAAAATTAGAATTTATTTTTGGCCATAATATCATGCAACCTTCAAATTTCTACATATAGCCCATATGTTTCTGCACATAGCCCATATTAGCACATGCAACTCAAAAAGTTAGAATACCTACTAATTCGGATAGAATATCCTTTATCTGCAAACAATATGCATCTCCTTAAAGACCAGCATATTTATTGCAGTATATTCTTTCATGTGTTACAACTCCCTTTGTCAGATGCAACTTATCTGCTTTGTATCATCTATCACAGTCAGTGGCCCTTGTAATTAAACTGTTTATTCTTAAATGCTAGCTGACAAATAAAACTAAAGTGATTCAAATTTGTTAGTTATGAAGAAAAATAAATTGAAGATTTTGTAAGTCCATAGCAAACATTTATCATACAAACTTTGTAATATGATCAAGAACAATATTTCTTATTCTAATAAACTATTATAAAACAATCTCATAACAGAAATATTGTTCTTTCTATTTATAAAAGTTCATTCTGCTGCAGTTTTAGTTTAACTTTTGTATGTGCAATGGTTTTTTATCATAACAAAAAGATTTTACGTGTATGTTATAAAAATCAAATACTTTAGCTAAGAAAAAGACAAAATACAGCATACAGTACTAAAATACAGCATTCTTACAGTTGTAAAAATAAAATGACAAGGCTAACTATAAAGCTGTAAACAAAAACAGATACATTATACTAAATCAAACAATTTTTATTTACTGTCTATGATCAGCAATTTCCATTTCAACAGGTTATTATCATACAGAGAAGAAATCAAAGCAGAATCTTCTCTAAATAAAAAGAATTTTAGTGTAATATATTTAATTTGTAACCATTTTGATATAAACAAACATTTTTGTTTAGTTTACTACTGCTTCAACTTTTGTTCAGTTAGTCAATCCACTTTGAACTATTTTGGAACAGCTTCCATGTTATTATTAAATGGGCTTTAGAATTGCAACTTGACTTCACTCCTTTCTTGTCCTAAATGGATCTTACCAGAACTCCAGAGCAACTTTTAAGGATAGTTAGCAATGGGCAAGGGTACATAATGAAGGAGAATGAGGGAACTGTTTCATGCAATTCCTTTCAGTTTATTATATTAAATTTTATATCATTCCATACTGAAGGAAATATTGGCATAAATACTGTATGTCCTCAATTAAACATATTAAGAAAAAAAATCCAATTATTCTATCAATATTGCAGAATATCACAACTTCCAAAAGATGCATTCTCATAGTCAAGGAACTGCCCTTAAAATCTTGCCTGGGAATGTATTTAGTATAAAACTGAACTGGAAGGAAACAAAAAGTCCTTCCCAGAAGAGAAGTCCATTGAAGCAAAAGGTAAAGATACAAAGTATACATACTGCTTCCTCCTTTTTAAATAAATGCTTGAGGTAGATAAGATTTAATTTATACCTTGAAAAAGATGACTGCTGCATAAAAGAATGGGTGGAACCAGCGTGTGAGCTGACACACAGAATATATTCAAATATGAAAAGCAGACCTCAGATTATTCAATATGTGCATGGAATATAAGTGACTAATATAAGAATACAAGAATCAACTTGCCTACCATGCCTCCTTGATTTGTGGAATTAAAAACAAAAGCAACAATTGAATTCATTGGATTGAATCACAGAGCTATAAATATTGTTACTCCACAAAGTTATAGTCACTGTAATTCAAAATCTCCATTTGTAATTCAAATCTAAGATTAGACATTGACAGTGAGCAGCTTTATGACTGACATGCACAAACTGCTGTCCAAATAAGACTGAAGTAGAAAGAAAATCACCAGCATAAAAATGAAATCACAAAGCTATCATATATATTTAATTATTAAAAGTAGATTATTTGAAACACATCATCTAGCCATGCCAGCCAGCTTAAGAGACTCTTTTTGAAGAATATGGGTTGGGCTCTAAGCTACATTAACTCAATCAACACTGTCAATGGTCCATTACCCCACCCCCATTGCATCTTCAGTCCCTTTCACCAAGAAAAGGAGTCCTTCAGTTTTCCAATGGGCTGAGAAGCCTGCAGGGAGCGGACTGAAATATTTCCTTACATTAAATGAATATTGTTCTGTTAAAAAGTTGCCTATTTTAAAATGTTGACAATTAAATCCAAACAATGGAAAAAGTTTCACATTTATTTAAAAAAACTGACAGTTTAACATTCTCCTATAATAATTTTTAAAAAATTATTTATTGTAGAAAAAGCTTAGTAACGTTTAAAAAAAACTATACTAGTCATAGCATAAATGGGCCATTTGAAGTTTAGTCACTAATTAAGTCAGCTAGTTAGTAAGTAAATTACTAGCTTCTTACTGATATTAATGGAAGAAAATAAAATAGCTTAGTATCATTAACTGGCAATTAATCACCAAATCAAATGATTGGTAGTGTGAAACTGCTGGGTTATGAATGTTTATGGAAACATGAAAAGTTTAATGAGATGCAGAATGCATGCATATAAATAGCAATTTATAACACTGAAAGTAGCCCAATTAATTCATGGAATTCAAGTATTTGATGTGTAAAAGCTAATCTCTGTTCATATCATCAATGACACAATTATGAATCTAACATTTTAGGATTATCCAGGAAACATATGAGGAAAGCCCTTCTCATATCATTAATTAGTCTATTCTGAATATACTTCATTTCCCACACCTTGAACGAAAGGAACAATATTAAGTTATCATACAATTATTTAAAAGCATTCCTACATTAAGATATGTTCACCACCCTCTATAAAACAGCAGTATAAGATTCCAAAAACAAATAATTATTGAAGTCATGTTTTTAGAATGGGTCTATGTTCCAAGAACTTTTTTGTTTGTTTATTCTAAGCAGTAATTAAAAATGGACTTATCACTAATATAGCTACTTACATCCAAGGGAAATCTATCATTTTTACTACATCATGCTAGCCCGACACTCATTATTCTATGGATTATGAATTTTTATGGTGTTAAATTCATATGGAACAGGGCCTAGAAAAATACAATTTACCAAAACAGCATCAAATCAAAAGCATTACTTACCTTAAATACTTTGCCAAAAGCACCATCACCCAATTCTCCTATAATTTCCCAAAAATCCTCTGGATTCAAATCTCTCTTGACATGCTCATACTGTTTCTTTTTCTTTTCACCTCCCAACTTGAAGATCTTACGGAAGTTAAAGAAGGACATATTTGCCCTTTTTAGTTCAAAAACTATTTTTAAACGCTTCAGGAAAAAAAACACCAGTTATTTTGTCCGCTGTTATGGTCTAAAAGAAAAACAGTACAAAATTATGACCACGGTGCTATGCGTCAGCAACGATGCTAAGAAAGGAGCAGAGAGGGACAATTTGCAGTCTAGATTTTCGATTTGATACACAATTATCCAACATCAACCAGAGCAAGTAGCTGCCAGCCACATGTGGTCACACGCAGTTTCCCACAAGTTTATCACTGTAGATTTAGCAACCTAATAATCATATAATTCGCACTAAGTTTTTCTAATCACTCAATGCATATGACCAGGCTCCACAGACACTATCCCCAAAAGATCTGTTGGTCGTACAACAGGCTGAAAGTTGAGGAATGACCCTCTCAAAAATGCCCACTTGATTCGATGAAGGATCCAATATTAAATGGCGAACATGTGTGCAAAAAAGCAGGCAGCTGTATTCAAGTCCTGCCCCTCCTTATTCAACAGCTCAGACTGCTAACATCGCGTCAGATGCAACTCTCCTTTCCTTTGGTGGTTGAAAACTTCAGCAATCCATGAGAACGGAAAACACGCATCTTCTTTCCTACTCTAGACACGACAGGCTTGCCTTCAAGAGTATTTTGTCTATTGGGAGAGAGGGAAGGGACAAAAAAATTAAGTGGCATAATAACATATTCCTCAACCATTTAAAAAAAAATTTCTCCGCCGCCCACCAAACAGTATATTTATTAAAAATGAAATGAAAAGTTATTCCCTATCGAAAAGCACTTATATGAAAAAGCCTCCTCCACTCTCCCTCCCCGTTTACCCCCCCCTTTTTTTTTTCCGTTGGAGAAAGATGGCAGAAAAACAGGTTGGGAGCAAAAAGAGTTTTTCCAGAAAAAGCAGCGACCCTCAATGGTGGCAGCTGCTGGTCTTTTCCAACAAAGCGGGGGGGGGAGTGAAAGATCGGAATGAGAAACTCACCAGGCAAGACGGATTCTCGTCTCCCTCGCCACAGAAGAGGTGATGGGGAGGATGACGCCCGCCGCCTTAAGCGTTCTTACTTCCTGTGCCTCCCCCCCCCCCCCCCCCCCCCCCCGACAAGGGGGCGGAGCACACAGGAAAGAAGCTCGCTGGTCTCGCTTCCTTTGCTCTTGTTCTCTCAACCGCCACCGCGCGCGCGCGCCCACACTCAACGCAACCCCCCACGGGAGACTCTTCCAGCCCACGCCCCACGCGCCTGCGCCTCCGCCGCCTTCTCTCCCTCTCCCTTACCGAGCTACGCAGGCGCTCTAGCAATCGGTTTCCCTCGCTGGCGTCTTTTCTCCCCAAGCTTTTTATCCTTTCTCCAATAATTCCCTCCTTCGGTTCTAACCACCGGATATTACAACGAACAAAAGGTACGACAGAAAGCAAAAGGACGAAAATCCCTTCCGGTTTCTCTGCGCTCGCTCGTCCTGTCCGACACCGCGCCGCCTCTATGAACAAACCAATGACAGCGCCACCGGTCTCTCTGGCGGGTAAGGCAGACCGGGTTTAGAATTGAGGTAAGAGGAGGGCGGGAGGGGGAATATGAGTGGAAGCGCGAGGAGGCCCTAGTATGATTTCGCGACTACGGAAAGCGGGTCTCCCCCCCCCCCCCCCCACCCAGGTTTAATTAAGTCACTTCCTCTGTAACACGACAAGACGAGGAAAGCAGGAAACAATGTTTAACAATGTGTGTTTAACAATGTTTAAACACACCCAACTGGTGTGCTGGGCTGGGCATCTGAGTCTTAACGTACTCTTCCGACGACCACTTTCTTTAAACAGAGAATGCTTGGATGAGTGCGTGACAACTTTATGGGGAGATCTGCAGTTTAGCCCTCAGCCAGTCTGGAGCCACCTAATATAACAGGGAACGATGTTTCCTGTTACGGAAACGGGATTTAAAACATTAAAATCGGTTCCAGAGGAAATGCATTTTAAAACTTGCCAATGTTTACCTGAAAAGGCGTGCCATGTATCCGAATTATTTATTTTGTATTTGATTTCATTTGTCAATCGCTTACAAGATAATAGGTATAAGTATAAACATGAGTAAGAATACAGGAAATAGGTACAAATAAATGTGGACAATAGGACAGGGATGGTAGGCACGATGGTGCACTTATGCACGCCCCTTACAGACCTCTTAGGAATGGGGTGAGGTCAATAGTGGATAATTTGAGGTTAAAGGAGTGGGGGTTAGAGGATGTAACAACAGAGTCAGGTCCTGCATTCCAGTCTTTGACCGCTCTGTTGCTGAAGCGGTTAACATTGAGCTTGTAGCTGTTGTGTGCTCTTGTATTTTGCGGTTGAAGCTGAAGTAGTCATTGACTGGTAGGACATTGTAGCAGATAATTTTGTGTACTATGCTTAAGTCCAACAGTAGGTGGTGTAGTTCAAGATTGTCCAAGCCCAAAATTGCAAGCCTGGTGGCATAGGGTATTCTGTTGCGAGCAGAGGAGTGTAGTACTCTTCTACTTCTGGACTTGCTCAATTGTATTAATGTCTGATATACAGTGCGGATTCTCCTCCATACTGCACCAAGAGCCCAGGATGGGTTGACTCCTTCCTATGATGTCGTTTAACTAAGATATAAAAGCCAGACCCCGGAAGTTACCCCAGTTTTGACTCAACTCCTTTCAGTCAGTAGCTGTGTCTCTGAAAGCGTTTTGTTAGTTAGCACTCACCAGCGATCTTCAGTACCTTTTTTCCTCGCTTCAGCAGCTTCCAGGATCTGGACAGCTGTTCTTCCAGGAGAGCAGGGCTCTCTCTCTCTCTCCTGCAACGTTGGGAGCAGCGTTGCCAGAGCGCTGTTCAGGCAAGTTGGGCAGCGTCTGTAGACCTCCCCCACGCCTCCGGTTTGAGCGGTCTAAAAAGCGATCTGCAAACCGATAACAGCATCAGCCAGCTGATCGTGTGGCCAGAGGCTTTGCTGACTTCGCTCGGGGCTCTTTATAGCCTAAGGAGCTATTCTTCGATCTCGGAGCCTGTTTCCCATAGTCACTTGCCATCTTGGATTGAAGCCTTCCACCACGAGGTGAGCGGCCATATTGTAAACCCGGGGGCCATTTATACCCTAAGGGGCTTAATAGAAAAATTTACAAACAGTTTGTTTCCATCGCAAGAGCCTTTTATTCTACAGTGGAGCAAGATAAGGGTCAGGCAGAGCTTTCCCCCCCAGTGGAGCAGTCTCTTAAGCCAATAAGAGAAAAAGACATAGGCAACACACCCAATCGGTCCAGAGGGAGGTGACTGCTAAAATCAGAGCTAAGGCTCTAGCCCCTAAGAAGGCAACTCAGGCTGAGTTGAGGGCAGAAAAGCGCAGACATGCAGCCCTAGAGAGGCAGTTCAACAGAACTATTCAACAAAAGGGAGTGCAATTACAGCAGGTTTCAGGTGATACCCGTGGGCCCCAGCCAAGCCTTCCCAGGGGAGGAGAAGTTATCTTGAGCCTTTCCATCCTCCATCCTGGTCTCCTGAGGCTTTGGCAGTACAATGTGATCGTCAGGATCCAAGCAGATCTGGGCCTTATTTCCAACAGGCTTCTGGGCCCTATGCTCCTCCCCTTCCCTCCAGGCCTCAAACCTCTTCTCAATCTAGGCCTGAAGCCACCTTCACTCCCACAGCAGTGGGCCTTTGGCCTTCTGCCTCTACCTTTGAGCATAGACCAGGGAATATCCAAGATGTTGTCTCATTGGCCATTAGGCAGGGATTGGCTGAAGGCTTCAAGCAAATTCTTCGACCTCTGGAAAGGGCTCAGGCCCTTCTCCCTTCTCAATCTATAAGTCCCCTGCCTCATCACCCTGATTTAGAGTGAGACCTTTGACCAAAATCTTTCAGAGGAAGAGGACTCTCGCCCAGAGCAGACATCCTCTGCATTGGTCTTCAATCCTTCTCTCTTCAGGCCATTACTCAGCAAGGCCTTGGTCACTGCCAAGCTGTCGCCAGAAGAACTGGCTCCCGAGCCACGAGGAAATCCCTCTAGCCAGGGAGACGCACTCTTCTCCAAGCCTGTAGTGCATGCAGGGGTTTTGCCTTCTCCCACTTTGCTCCCGGTCATGGTCAAGGAACAGTGCGCTTCTCCTTTGGCAGGTCCTCACCCATCTTCTCTGGATAAGCGTTTCTACAATGTCAGCGCAGCCCTGGACAATGCCCTGGCAGTGCCTTCTGTTGACATTCCGGCGCTGCATGGGCTGTTCGGTCTTCAACAGCAGCATCCTTTTTTTCACGAGGGCATCCATACGGTGGCTGCACCAATTCCAGATTAGATTGCCTACATCTGACCTTCGGTCTCACCAAGACCTTAATAAGATTATCGCAGCGGCGGAATTCATTGCAGATGCCACTCTCAATTCTGCCAAATTTGCATCTAGGGCCATGGCATCTTCAGTAGCAGCAAGAAGACTGTTATGGCTCAGAAATTGGCAGGCGGAGTCACGCCGTAAATGGAAGCTGGCTTCAGTTCCATTCGCGGGCGATAAGCTTTTTGGCGATGCTCTGGAACCTTATCGCATTGAAACCAGAGGTAAACGTAAGTTTCTCTCTTCCTCTGGGAAGAGAGCTGACTATCACCCAGCTCCTCATCGCCCTCCTGCCTTTCGAGCGGAGACCTCATCCCGCTTCCCCAAGTCTCAGAGTCCATACTCCCAACGCCAAGACCAATGTGTGGAAACATCTGGCAGGCAACTGGTAAACAGCCCTTTTGGGGGGGGGTCGTTCCTTCCGTCGCTCTAAGTTATCCCTCGTTCTCCCCACCCATCGGAGGTCGCCTAGCTTTCTTTGTCTCCAAATGGGAGGAGTCAATGACAGATGCCTGTGTGCACTATTAGGTCAGGGTTACAATTGGACTTCCTAATGCCACCCCCAAATGGGGGGAAAAAGAAAAAAAAAATATTTTTGAGCTGGCCTGTCTCTCGGGACATTTCAAGGCAAGACCTCATGAAACAGGCCATTCAACACCTTGAAATCCGAGCTATTCAACCTGCTCCCCCCTCTCAACAGGGACGTGGGCTTTACTCTCGCCTTTTCATCGTTCCCAAAGCCTATGTGGGGGGGTGGCGAACCATCCTGCATCTAAAAATTCTCAACCAATTTGTAAAATACAGACAAATTAAAATGCAAACTTTGCATTCTATTTTAGAGAGTGTTCGGGAGGGCGATGTCCTCTCTTCCACTGATCTCATGGAGGCTTACCTCCACATCCTTTTTTGGCCTCATCATCGCCAGTTTCTCCATTTCTGTTATCAGAATACCCATTACCAGTATTGAGCACTTCCCTTCGGCCTCTCATCGGCTTCCAGGGTCTTCACGAAGGCTCTGGCAGCATTGATGGCATCTCTGCGTTCTGTTCCAGTGAGGATCCAATGCTACTGGGACAACATTTTGATTCTGTCCTCCTCCATCCATGCAGCCCATCGGGATCTGCAAATTACCCTGTCATATCTCCAGAGCCACGGATTTTTCCACTCCTGTCCACTCCAGTGGTTCCTGCTTCCTTACCAACGAACAGGAACCAGCTTCTCATCCATCAAGGTCCCGCTCCTGCCACAAATCCGGAGATCTCTCAATTGGTGGCATTCCCCGTTAATCTAGAAGGGACTCCCTTTCAGGGTCCCAGACAGGCTAGTGATAACCACCGATGCCAGCCTCCTGGATTGGGGGTCCCATATGCAGGGCCAGATAGCTCAGGACCTTGGTCCAGGTCAGAGCTGGCCCTTCTCATAAATTGGCTAAAGCTCAGAGCCATTTTTCTACCTCTCAAGCATTTCAGGCACTCAGTGACTGGCTCTCATGTTCTAGTCCTTATGGACAACATGGCCGCTATAGCTCATGTCAACCGGCAAGGGGGGACGAGGTCCAGAGCCCTCATGGGAGAGGCGCTACGGTTGGTGTTATGGGTAGAGAAACACCTGTTGTCAATCTTGGCGGACCACATGTCTGGGATCGACAACTCCCAGGCCGACTGGCTCAGCAGGAGCCTAGTCGACCAGGCAGAATGGTCCATTCCTCTGTCTCTATTCAGGGACCTTTCCCTCAGATTCGGAACGCCGGAGGTGGATCTCTTTTCCACTCCTCAAATTGCCCAGGTCACCAGATTCTTCACCAGGTTTCCTTGCCTGGGAGCTAAGGGGACCAATGCTCTTTGGTGCAGATGGCCCAAAAGTCTCCTCTATGCCTTTCCCCCACTTCCCATCATTCTGGCAGTAATTCGGAAGATGTTGGAGGAACGAGCCGAGCTCCTCCTCCTGACACCCTATTGGCCAAGGACGCCCTGGTTTGCGGACCTGGTCAACCTATCGGGGGCTTCTCCTTGGAGGATCCCAGCCCATCTAACCTCCCTTCATCAGAGGATTCTGCTCCACCCGGAGCCCCTGTGGCTCAAGCTGACCATGTGGCACTTGGGCGGCAGCGGCTAGGGATGGCTGATCTTCCTGAAAGGGTCATCATCACTATCCTGACATCTCACAAACCTTCTACAAGGCACATCTATGATGCCACCTGGAAGGCCCTTCCCGAGGGTTCCTTAGGGAGGGTCTCTTTCCTGCTTCAGCCCAGTTGGCAGAGGTTCTTAGATTCCTTCAGCATGATTTGTAGAAAGGTTTGGTCCCCAACTCCTTACGCAGGCAGGTTGAGGCCCTCTCCTCAGTTCTTTCATGGGGTTCGCTTCCTTATCCCATCACCCTTCAGTCAGGAAGTTTTTTTTTTTAAAGGGGACTTCCAACCTGCACCCCTGGTGGTTCACAGGTATCCTTCCTGGGATCTTCATGAGGTCCTTAATGCCCTTACGAAACCCCCCTTTGAACCCCTTAGAACATTGTCTCTCTGTTTCCTGACTCTGAAGGTAGTGTTCCCCATTTCCATCACTTTAGCCAGGCGGGTATCCAAGCTTGCTGCTCTTTCCATCAGAGAGGACCTTTGTTCCTTTCACGATGATAGGGTTGTCCTCAGTCTGGACCCCTCATTTCTTCCAAAGATTAACACCTGTTCCACAGGTCCCAGGACATTATGTTGCCTGGCTTCTGCCCCCTCCCGCACCATGACTTAGAGCAGCAGTGGCACACGCTAGACGTAGGAAGGGCTCTTAGAATATACATTAAGCGCACTTCCTCCTTCAGGAAGTCAGAAGCCATGTTTGTTTCCTTTTCCCTTCTCACTTGGGGCACAAGGCCTCTTCTCCACTATTAGCAGGTGGGTCAGATCTTGCATTGAGCAGGCCTACAAAGCTGTGGCCCTTCTGGTTCCTCGAGGTCTGACGGCGCACTCTACCAGAAACGCGGCCACTTCGGCTGCCTGGGCGACCCAAGCACCCTTGGAGGAGATCTGTCGTACGGCCACGTGGACATCTCCATCTCCTTTCATCAGATACTACCGTCTGGATGCCTTTGCCTCGGCAACTTCAGCCTTCGGCAGACGGGTGCTTCAACGAGTGGTTCAACAGTCGGTGTGATGAGCCGGACGAGGACCTGCCCGTGGACATGCAAGCTTTGGTATGTCCCATCCTGGGCTCTCGATGCAGCATGGTGGAGAATGGGCGTTAGTAGTAGTTACCCTGAACGCCCTTTCTATCTATGCTGCGAGAGAGCCCAGCCCCTCCCTTGATTCGTCCGGAGAGGGGAAGTCATATTTCTGTATTCATTTGTGCTTTCAGAGACACCTTTCAGTCTATCAAGTATCTTCGCCAAAGCTGGGATAACTTCCGGGGTCTGGCTTTTATATCTTAGTACAGACTCAGCTAAATGACATCATAGGAAGGAGTCAACCCATCCTGGGCTCTCTCGCAACAATAATAGAAAGGGCATTCAGGGTAACTTCTACCAACGCCCATTCCAGACAGATGAGCTGTATTCAAGTATTGGTCTAGCAAAGGTTTTGTATGCCCTAGTTAGCAATTCAATATTTCTGGAGGAGAAGCTTTGTAAGATTAGATTTACAACTCTTAATGCCTTTTTGGCAATGCTGTTACAGTGAGTGCTAGCGCTTAGATCATTTGATATGAGTACTCCAAGGTCCTTGACAGAGTGAGGGTCATCAACGAGGTCATAGCCGCCTAGTTTGTATTTGGTGTACTGATTTTTTTTTTTACCAATGTGTAGGACAGAGCATTTGTTGGCCGAGATTTGGAGTTGCCAAATGTTTGACCATTCAGACACATAATCAAGGTCACTTTGAAGAACAGTAGCATTGTCGGTGGTGTTGAATAGTTTTACATCATCTGCAAAGAGGGTGCAGTTGCTTATAAGGTGATCGCAAAGATCATTTATATAGAGTATAAAGAGTGTGGGTCCTAGCACGCTGCCTTGGAGGACACCACTGTTGATTGGAGCAGGGTTTGATATAGTGTTCCCTATTTTTACTATTTGTAAAGTTTTTACTATTTTTACTATTTGGCGCTAGTCGTGAATAAAATCTTTTATCTCAGATTGATGAAACTGCAATGGTCGTGTGGAAGAATTAACATTAGATTGTATATCCCAAAGGTGCTTTTTCAAGAGACAAACTTGAAGACATTTCACTTCTCATCCAAGAAGCTTCATCAGAGTTGAAGAAGCTTCTTGGATGAGAAGCAAAACGTCTCCCAAAAAACACAGAAAGTCCAGTGGCCTCTTGAAAAAGACCTTTGGGACAACCATGACCTGGATGACTGAGAATCTCCATAGACAATTAGACTATACTTTTTAAAGAGCAAAAAAGCTTTGTGCCTGGATATTGATTCAAAAGCAAGTGTCTGCTGACCTCAAAAGAGTTTTACTGGAGTAAATGTAAATACAGTAGTTTCAAAAGGCATGAAACATTGTAACAATACTTTGATTATGTAGAGGCTTATGTTGATAGAAAAGAATGTCCAAATCTACTTATTCTGGGAGAATAATTAGGGTTGTTTCTTCCATTCTTGGTTTTAAAGCAAAAATGCTAGATTACTCTTACCACCTGTTTTGCAAATTCAGAGTAGTTCCATTGCTATTTCTGTTTTTGTTGTACATGGTGTATAGCTTCCCACTTTTCACTAATAAGTTGATTAGATCCATGTATTATAATTGAAATTGTTTCATTTTTATTTTTGAAATGGTGATTTTTTTTTTTAGGTGTTTTTAAGTCCATATTTTTGATTGCTACATGTTTATTCCCGAGCTAAGGTCTCTTACTGCTTACTCTTGCAGGTGCTAGTTTCTAATCTCGTCTTGAAAAATATAATTATTTACAAGTTTCAGACTACTAAGAGATAATTAAATAATTGTCCATCTTTTTAAGTAGACTTCCTTTTATAACTTACTCTGATTTCATAAGCATATTTTAAATATTTTATTTTCAATTTTAACTCGTCTTAACCTTGTTAAATTCCTGTACATAGAAGCCTCTATTTTTCATCTGTCTGCTGTGTCTCACCTGGGAATCATTCTTCCTTCTTGATGGGAATTTTTTCTTAATAAAAATTGCCAGTATTATAATAGTGATATGGCATTACCAATTTTAATTTCAAAAATCCGAATACTGTAGAGCTGTAATTTTCTCTGAATAATTTAAGGAATCCACTAAATTATATATTACATTCCATCTTTCATTTACACCACCAATTTCATGATCCTTATTATTACTGATATTAAACTTTCCATTCATCAATACAAAAGTATGAACTTGCATATTCATGCAAATTACTTCAGTAAAAGACTACTAATACTAGTAGATATTTTAAATATCATACAATATTTTAAATTTTTTATAATATACAAACCTCCCAAAAACAACTAGAGACACTAAAGTCAAAATATCAATTAACGGAACAAGTAAAAATAGCTGCTCTCCCTCTATTGAAATAACAATAAACAAGATAAATCAAATTGGGAACAGCGCAAATTCTCAAATAGCTGTCTTTTTACATATATTCTAAAGCAATAAAATTTTAGTAGCTGATAGATTTAACTTGGGTGGGATTCTACCAGTTCGCACCTATTCGCTAGAACTGGTTGTTAACATTCTAAGCAGTTCAGAGAACTGGTTATTAGAAGAAATTACTGGCCTAATCCTGTAAGGAAAGCAGGAAGGAAACATTCTGGTGTTGCTTACAGAAACTGCCTCTCCATTAACCCTTATTAACCCTTCTTGGCAGGACTAGACTTCCTGTCTCAGGAACTTCTCTGGAGTTTTTCCCCCCCTCCTTTGCTGGTACCTTGCTTGTGTGGAGTGACCATTCAAAGTTACAATGGCACTGAAAAAAGTGACCTATGCCCATTTTTCACACTTATGACTGTTGCAGCATCCCCACAGTCATGAGAGGCCAGGTGAGGAGATGCATGCCTCGATGTGAGTGATATTGAGTTGGCCACACCCACCATTAACATGACCACCAAGCCATGTCCACCCAGTCACTTGACCACTAAGCCACACCCACTACCTAAGCCAGGCCACAGAACCAGTTGTTAAAAATTTGAATCCCACCCCTGATTTAACATATGTAATTCCAAAAAGGTATCCTATTTCATGAATGCATGCCAGAATGTATAAGTTTGAGTAAACTGGTATAAGCCTTCTAATGATAATTGAGGGCTTATGTGGAGAAACATAGAATTTTTGCATTTGACTACTCCCAATTTAAAATGTATGCTTTTTATTTTCCAGATTTTGTAATGGTAAATTTGTTCATAATTAGATATAATATTTTTGTAAGATGGCATTTTTTCAGTTTTAGTACAGTAAGTGATTATGTTGCATATGACATGTTTATAAGACATATTCTTTGCTCCCACCAGACTCATTTCATATCAACTTTAATCAATGATTGGTTAATATGTTCTTGGAGCTAAATTATTTTGGAATGTGTGCTGCAGCTATAGAATCAGAAGATGAGGTCCCATCACTTTTGTGGGGTTTGAATCCAATCTTTTCATCCTATGCAAGACTATACATTAAAGACATATTAGAAATGAAAGAGTCTAAACAGGTTCCAGGTAAGTAGTGAAATTGCTATGAACTTTATAACTTTATAGCTATATAAGTACTATAACTTGTTATACTGAAAAATCAAGCATTATTATGTTGTGGATCAGTTTGACTACAAATTCTCTCTATTTCTTTGGCACTTCCTTTGATGTGCTGAAATCTCTTCCTTTTCGTTCCAATGTTGCATTACTTTCAGAGACCTCAAACTAGAATCTTTTCATTTATTTGGAACATAATGAAGGAATAACTTGAATCTAATACATTTATAACTGTACAAAATATTTAAGGTATCTGTAATTATTATCAGAAAGCACCAATGGATTATTTTAAATATTTTGAATTAACAGTTTTTAATCAGTAAAAGTGTGCATTTGATTCGGTTCTAATCTTTGTGTTTCTAAATCTTCTTATCTATTTCTTGAACGTGCTCTCCTCCATTGATTCTTGGATGTAAGTCTTTCCAAAGTATTGATTAATTGTGCAACATATGTGATGTTATGATTTTTCTAGCACTAAAAACTCTTGATGTTTATGGAGGTAAGGGGATTGTTTTTAATTAAATGAAGTCATTGTTTTATTCCTGTATGATTGCTATAACTACACAATCTATAATATAGACTTGTATAGTTACTATACAACCAAGAAAAAACTACAGTATAACAGTTTTTTTGTCTTTTTGTACATGATCTTTAATATCTTAAACATTGGGAAAAAATAAAATTTAAAAATGTATTAGGAATGGCTCAATCTTTTTGCTGATAACATGCTTATCTGATTTCCTATTTTCCACCATGATTAAAAATAATCATTGGATACTTTTCATGCAAACTTCAGGATCTTCCACATCTACACAAATAGAAGAATAAATCTTGCTATGAAAATAGAATGTTTTCAATTGTAGTACTATATAACTGTATGTGGCATTTTATAGTTATCAGTTTGGGTGGCAAGTTTGACATCCAGATCAGAACGATTTTTTTTTTAAATGGCAGGAAGGAAAGTTTGTAGAATATGAAATGACTGTCATTTAAGTGAGTTCCACATTAGTCTCTCTATCAGTGCCATATGGAAAAGGGAATGAGGATGTCATATATGAACTGCATCCCCGTACAGAAGAATGAGGTTTCAGTTACATTGCCTCTGCCACCAACTTGTCTTTTTTTACTCTTCCTGCAGCTATCAACAATATATATTGTGAGCTGCTACTCAAAAATAATATTTCATGTGGAAAATGGCTATTGCTGAGGAAAATTTAAGGGATAATTTTATATGTATAAATTATAGTACACAAATAAATTGGGGTAGGGTGCAGATTTATGATAGCAAGTTGTCTATACCCTATAAATTGTGAATCTGTGATTTGTTTTTTTTATCAAACTTTAATCAAATTTCATTGTCTTTAATACAAAATAAAATTTAAAACATTTGAATTAAATATTCCATGTATATCATATTAAAATTTGAACATTGTAATCTGAAACTAATGTATCAAAATATTGTAATACTCTACTTTGATCAGTTGCTTTATATCAGTGGTCATAACTTTTGGATTTTTTTATCAGGATATGTGAAATTGTTATTAAAATTAACATTAGTTGACTAAGAATAAAAAATGTTAGTAGTATTTGGGATTATGACACAATGTTTTTAAAGGCCTAAATCAAGGACTTTACCCTTTTCATTTTTTGTTTCTTTCCTAAGGTATATTCTTTTACAACAGACATCCAATAAGACAAGTAGATATTTTTGGTACGGTGGTTCTAATAAAAGAAAAAGATTCCTTTTATATTTGTGGAGGTAAATGATAATCCAAGATTTTTGTTTTTTAGTTTTATTTCCATTTTTAATAGTATTGCTATTCTGAATATTAATTTAGACTTCCGTAGAATCAATATTTCTAGAGAAAAATATTGTCTCTCTTGGTCAGGGGTGTCAAACTCAATTTCACTGAGGGCCACATCAGGGTGTGTTTGACCTCAGAAGAAAGTGGGCATGGCCAGGGTGGGTGTGGCCAGCTCGATGGCACTCATGTCAGAGGCATCTGGTGGCCTGAGCGCTCTCCCAGTGAAAAATGAGTTTTGTTTTCACTGACAGAGAGTTGCAGGAAGCCATCACAGCCGAAAATGGAGCTTGGGTGGGCCGTGCATGGCCGAGCTGTATTTTTTCTGGCAGAGGCACTGTGGGCCAGTCCTTCACTGTTTCCAGGGAAGCCCCATGGGCCAGATCTAAGCATCCCGCAGGCCGGATCTGGCCCCTGGCCTTGAGTTTGACACCCCTGCTCTAGGTAGACCAGACTGGAAATCACCTCTATAGGAAAGTTAAAATTATTTATATTAACATTGATTAATATAGTCTAATAGTTCTGTACCCCTTTCTCCTCCTCCTTATAGTTCAATAATTTAGGGAGATCTGCCTAAGTTGCTTCTGAATATTATCTTGTTTATAATTTTAAAAAAATGCTTCAAGCTCTTCTCCCAAGTAACAGATCCTGCATATTTCCATCAAGGTTATCTTCTTGCACCTGGTTAATATTACTCAAAATACTGCCTGCATTAACAGTGAAAGCCTAAACATATACTCAGAATCAAGTCCCTTTGTGTTCAATGGCACATATGAGTGTGATAATTAACATTTGGAGTAACCTTCAGTCTATTAATTCACATCTCCTTAAAAACTTTTTTCTGACATCTTTTAGATTTGCCTCTAAGAGATGGAAGACAAAAATAAAAAAAATTGACCTGCCTACTTATATACTCATAATACTTCAACCTAGTTGTTTTGGTGACCAAAGCCATTGATTTCAGGTAGTCGCTAGAGGCAGAAACTTTGAACTTATGAATCAAAAGGCAAACATATTCCCCACCCAGGCACTCCTCACATTCAGTTTTGATAGACCCAAATTCTTGGCTTAAAGCAAGTGCTGTTTTTCACCTTTGAAGTATGGGGTAGGAATGGAGTAATTTTCTGCTAGCATTTCCTTCTGGGAATGTATAAGAAGGTATAAGTATTGTATACCTAAATTAAATACGAAATTATAGCACTTGCTTTATGCCAAGAATTCACGCATTTCCAAACATATTGCGAGGAACACAAGTATTACTCTTGCCTTGAATGTTTCTAGTAGTTCAGAAGCCCTGAGTGTGAAAGGTGACTCTATTGTGCATAGTTTTCTCTTTCTGATTACCCTTTTTTCACTCTCATTGTAAACCTTCCATTTTTCATTTTGTAACCAACTTCTTATTGCTACCCAAAAAGAACTTAGCAAAAATAAGTATTTTCTTGGGAATATTTACCTGTTTCCAATTTCTCCTGTGTTTCTCTACATGGTCAGATTATTTTTAGTTCATTTCTCAGATTGTGTACCAATGTGTCCCTCCCTGTTTCCATAGCCACAGTCAGGCTGAGTTGCCCAAAATAAATTGCAACTTCCCTTTCAGCTTAAAAATGAGGTTGTGCAGCTGGTGAGCTGAATAGCAAGTGTTGCATCAGCAGTCAAGCCCAAATGATTCATGAAACTCTCCTGTTTGTGCATAGAAACAGCAAGAGAAAGAAATAGGAAGTTCTTTTTTTTACTTTTCTAATGAAAAATCTACATTTATCTTAACTTTATTTATAATAATTTCATCAAAAAATTTTTTACAAGGTGTGATTCATTTCTAAATAATGTATAGTTACTGGTAACTGTTAAAATGCATAGGAAAATGAAGAGGAGCTAAGTCATTGCCTAGATTTTAACTATTCTCAGGAATCACAATGATACTTACAGGCCTAACATAATAATGCACCTCTATAATTAACAGAAGGAGGGGGTTTGCAAAATTTTCAGACTAACATTGAAAGGATCAGAAATAGAAACCCATGCATGATAGAAGCAGTCTTTCAAACTAAGGACTGCTGAACTACTAGAAAGGTTTAAGAGCAAGATTAACACTTTTCTCAACTGTTCTTCAATATGCTCCTCGGCTTATGAGGAGACTAGCATTAATGACATATATTGCTCTACAAACAGATGTGCTCATCTTACCTCAAATACTTTTTAATCTGCTTTGATATTCTTCTTTACTACATCATTTTACAAATGTTCCTATCAATCCCAGATAAGAACTGCAAGAAGACAGAATCATTATTTATTATGACTAGAAAGATACTTTCTGTATTAATTCCTATTATTATAATAGGAAATATTAACCTTTAGAACTAAGAGAATTGGATGAGAGGAAGCTGGTAGAGTTTTAAACCCTAATATCATTGGTTAAAATGTAAGGCTTCCATCTTTGTGGGATCAAAAGAAAAAACTTCTACCAAAATGACCTAAATTATCACTATTCTTTTCCAGTGGATGATGGCACTGGTGTAATAAGCTGTACCTGCTGGAAAAATGCTTTAGCAGAAAAGAAAAAAATGTCAGGTAATATTTGCTGTTGTTTTCCTCTTTCAGGATATTCTGTATATGCTGCAGCCAAGGTTGTATTGAGACATTAACCTCTACCTGTTTGGCCTTTTCATATCTTACTCATGAAAATTTGATTATTGTAGTAGCCCTTGAGATATGGGATATTGTAGATTTTTTCCTCTCATAATGGAATATTTGCTTGGTTAAGTGTTATATGTTCTTTGATGTATAAATTTAGTATAGGTATTATAGTACTTTATGCTATTGTTTTTATTGTTATAATAATTGTGTTGTTTTAATCTGGTATTTGGATGTCAGGTATGTATACTACTCCAAATTGATAATGTTTGGGATAGCACATATGCTCAGTAATAAGTCTAAAAACACATGTCACAAAAAGAAAAAAGAAAAGAAAATTGAGAAATTTATAGCTTTATCTGTCCCTGTTTTGTTTTTTTCATCATGATGCTGCTTAATGAGCTTTCCTAAACAGGATAATGGCAGTTTTTAAGTCAGAAAAAATACATCCCTGTGGAAGCATGACCTGCATAATTGTAGTACTTGAAAAAAGTCTTTAATTTTATCGTGCTCAGTGAACATTGTTATTAATAACATAGCGCCTTATGAGATGTATATATTTCTCTGCAGATTTGGAACCTCAGCCAAGTACTTTAAGTGGTATGAATCTAACTGACTTGATAAGAAATCTCCAAATAGCAATTCGAAAAAAAACAATTCTGGAAATTGGTGATCTAATCAGAGTCCGTGGTTGCATTCGAATTTACAGGCAACAACGGGAAATCAAGGCTTCTGTGTATTGTGAGTAATTACCTTATAGTAGTATGCATGTTTATTTTAAAGTTGCAAATTGTAATCTGAACATTTGTCAGAAAAGAATGTTTTTTTCTGGTATGTAGTACCTCTTATATTGATAAATTTTGAATTATTTTATATATGAAATGTAGTAAATAATATTTTAGCACTATTAAGAATTAACAATTTCAACAGCTTTACATTTCTCATATCTTTTCAGATAAAGTTGATGACCCTATGTATGAAACTCAAATTTCCAGAATGCTAGAACTTCCTCGTTTATATAGGGATATTTATGATAAGATATTCCAGTTCCCAGAAGAAACACAATGGTCAGTGAAAGCTATATATATTGATAGCTCAGTTTTGATTTGTTAACTCATGGAAATGTGAATCCGAGTTAGAGACAATGAAACAGGCTATTTTATAGGAAGCATTGTATGGAAACAGAAAGAATAATGAGGAATGAATAAATAGAGGAGAAAATAAGGAATAGATATAATTGATGAATCCAGAGTACATATAATATTAAATAATTCTTAGATGCATTCAGCAAAATCATCTTAAATCTGTAATGAAAACTTTGGCAAATTAAAAACAAGTATTAAACCCTTGACTATCAGTGGGCTTTCAAGATGGTCACCACATTGAGCAAAATAAATGGACATCATTCCTCATGCCATTTATATTCTTATTTTCAAGCCCAATTCTTGAGCTTCAGATACTCTAGTCTAGATCCCAACCAACTCTAGTTCTTTCCAAATATATTGTGCAACTCTCATAATTTCCGATCATCCAGGTCATGTTGGAGAAAACAGAAAAAGAGGTCAAAATATTATAGTAGCTGGCAGTAATCGAATGTGTCAGCCACATTTTAAGCAGAGATATGCTTAGTGTACTCTCTTATCATGTGTGCCAACATCACAACTGATACTGGTAATAATCATGCCATCCAGTTCCAAAATTATATGCAGTCCTCATTTAGTCATTGTAATCCGTTCCAGTGAAATGGTGGTAAGCAATATGGTTACAAAGCAAACCACATGATTGACAGATGCTGTGAAGATACTAGATGCTACGATTTCCATTTAGATAAAGTTGTCTTGTGCAGCAACAACAGGGTTACTCTTAACTCCAGTGTGTAATGTCAAGCACAGCAATTTGGTCCTAAGCATGCATATTGGTGAGAAAATTATTTTCTACAGTTTATTTTTGTTATTGCATTTGTAAAAAGCTGGAGTAATCATTAAATAAGGATTGGCTATATATGTAATTTGAAACATGTATTATGTATTATGTTTTAAAATCAATGCATGCATTTTTACCTATGAAGAATGTATTAAGGCTACAAAATGTTCAGCAGTTCTGGACAACTTTCTATAGATTCATTATTAGTTTTAGACATGTTTTATTTTGGTCATGTTGAAACTTTTTTAATTTTTAATTTTGTTCTCTATTAATAGTAATCATGGTGCATTAGATGAACTGGGTTCTGTCATGAATCTGAGTAAAAAAATAAGGGATTTTCTATTGAGGAACAAAATTCAGAGCTTCTATATGCAGGAATTAGAAACCATTGAAGATTTGGTATCATTGGCCAAAAGAGATGAACTTGGTACCACTGCTGAGCAAGTGAGTAAAGTTAATTTGTAAGAAGTTTTTCACTTATGAGAATTAATTAAGAATGAACTAAGTGTTGCATATTTAAAAAAATAAAATTCACATCTATTAATGGTGTGCCAGTCTAATAATTTGTATACTCCTAGTTTTAGGCCTTGTTAGGAATGTAAGTCACCTAACAGTTGGGTTGGAAATATACAAGCCAGGGTAGACATACTGTCTCTTTAAGGGAATGCTAAAATTGTAATTGGGTGTGGTTCCTCAAACGGCCATAAGATGGAGCCAGAAACCTGGTTTCTGAGAGTGTTGCCGTTCCTGCATTTCCTTATTGACTGTTGCTGAGAGTCGTTATTCTTGGATTTGATGTGAGTCTTTTGCTGATTATATAAATTATTTAACTATAATTACCCAGGCACTTCGACCCCTATGTTGAAAGTATTTAGGGCAAAAATAGTTCCAATGCTGACATATGGTGCAGAACTGTGGGGTTTAAATAAAGCCTCCCCACTTGAACAAACACAGACCCGCTTTTTAAGACACTTATTGGGGACTGATAAGAACACTTCTGCTTCCGCTTCCATCACCCGAAAAAGACTGCCTAAAGGCGAGGGGACACTGGCAGCCCCGCCTCGCCCCAAAGTGGCTGGGGACTCTGCCTTCAAGGGAGCTTTCGTCTGCCAAAAGAAGCGGCCTCGCGGCGAGGGGAGTGTGTGTGTGCGTGCTTGCCCCGAGGCCACTTCTACCGGCCAATCGAAGTGGCTGGTGACTGCACTTGGGGAGCTTCCATTGCCCGAAAGAGACTGCCTAAAGGCGAGGGGACACGGGTAGCCACGTCACTCCCTGAAGTGGCTGGGGACTCTGCCTTCAGGGAGCTTCTATCGGCTATCAGGCTATTCTAGCCTAGGCTACCTGCAGGGCACTCCTAAAGGCAAGTTTTCTCCCCATCCCCCCGCCCTTCCTCCGCCCATTTCTCTTCACCTCGTGTAGTTTTAACAAACGATGTGAGAAATGGTGGGGAAAAGCATGGTTTAAATAGGCCTAAATTTTGGAGGTGGGGCTTAATCTCATGCCTAGAAATTATGCTGGGCCTTCCTATTGGTGGAGGCCGTATTGTTGGAGAAACATGGTAGCAAAAATAGATCTATAAGACAGTTGGCTAAGAATAAAAACATCTTCCAACCTGAAAAATACCTTTCAATGGGTATGCCACAATTATACCAGAGCCAGATTTGAGTTACTGGATTCCATGTCTAGACATGGGCACTTCCACCATGTACCATACCACGAGAGAACCTGCTTATGTGGTTCATCTGCCATTGAAGATATTTCCCACATTTTGTTCAACTGCCAAATATATGCCCCCATTAAGCTTAAATATTTATCATTTCTACTGGAAAGAACAGCCCACTGGGAATTAACCACAAATTGTCATATTTCCTCCGGGCCTCTAATGTACACATTGTTTGCTAAGTTTATAATCAAGGCAGTGGTCCTAAGAATATAATATATTGAACAAATTGGTGTATCCTGCAAGGGTGATCTATTATCCAATTTCTGACTCCCTGGTTTTCCACATACGTTTTTATTACTGTATTCTTATATATCTAACTTATCTGCATTTTGTCTTGTTATATATTTATGTTATGTTATTGATAAGGTCTTATGACTATTCAATTAAATAAACGATACCAATACCTATTGACTGTTGCTGATCGTCATTATTCTTGGATTTGATGTGAGTCTTTTACTGAACTGTTTTTGATACTGGACTTTGTTATTGGATTATTCCTGGACTGAAAACTGACTGCTATAACCATGTATGACTTGGACTGTTTGTTGGACTTTGCTTAACCGTTTACTGGAAGTAAAACCTACATTTTACTCTACAGTGTAGCTGTGTGCTGTGTGTGTGTTAGTCAACGTTACTCTCACTACGTCTCCCTGTGTGCGCTCATTCTCCTAACGGGGAATTACCTCAACAGGCCTGAGTTATGACAATTAAAAACTATTTTAAAAAAAATATGTATAAGATGTACCCGGTTTAAGAATGAGTTCCATTTCCAAAGACTGTTCAAAAATAGAATTTGTATATAAGCTGGGACAGTATCATTGAGTACTATTGTCAAATGAATTTGAAGCGTTATGTATTTAACTTGAATCACTGTGTATTTAAATTCTGCTGCAGTATGCTCCATTCTTAGCTGTGGGTCATCCTTAAACCCAGTGTTTTAATCTAGGAACTTACTTTAATGATATTTTAATAATCAGGACCTGGATGAAATAACTGATATTGTGCATGATATCATTGAAATAACTGATATTGTGCATGATATTTTAAGTGTCTTTTGATAAAAACTATTAAATATATAGACCAAACTACAATGCAACATTATATGTTGGATTTCAACATTTAGCTTTAACTCACTGTTAATTATAGTAGGGAGTATTTTAGAATTTTATGGTTTTTTTTACAAGTAATGCCTTTTACAAGTTACTTGAATAACAGGACCAAATATTTCTGAACTTAAGGGCAGGTTAATTAAGGTCCAATTGCTTACAAACATGGGATATTCAGTGTATAATGTTCTGTCAGAGCGTTCTGACATCTGCCTCACATTACATTTATTCTTCCTGGGCATTTTAACTTCTTTGGAAAGGACCTTAGGGTCCTTAGGGATGAGGGATTTGGGAGGCTCCAAGCCACTAACCTCTAATTGAAATCAGAATTGTTCATAAAGTAAATGCTTGTTTGAGAGTTGGACTGATGATTTTCAATAGCATAATGTTTCTGTTTTACATTGCACTTCTGGTTAAATAGGAATTTGCTTATAAAAAGGTTATAGTATGCAGAAAATAAGTCCATGAGCCATATAACCATGGTACAGATTTGCATAAATTAATCTGTGTAATGTTATGCATATTTGTATCATTTGAAAATTTGGATTGAACAAACATTTAAAATCCTTTTTTGTATTGTTTTAGCAAGATATCAGTGGGTTTAATTTATATCTTACAATTTTCTTTCAAGAGAATAAAAAATGTTTAGGCAAGTTTTTCTTTTCTTTAGACAATTTTTGTATATTTTTTAATGTCAACCATAAAAAATGATCATTCAATTGAAACCATAATAAAACTGTACCTCTCATTTACAAAAGCTTCTGTGAACTCTTTCCTAGTGGCTGCTTCCGGACAACCATTTGTTTTTATAAAATAAATGTTTGTCATTGAAATTTAATTAAATCGATTTGAATTTAAACAAAAACTCTGCTGATCTTTTTTTCACATTGATATAAAACAAAAGGAGCAAATAGTACAGGAGGATTCAGTTCAGCTAGTCAGCTGCCATTATAATAAATTCTGGTTGAATTTAAAAATTCTCACTTTTTTCCACACTTTCTAAATCCGTACTCTTTTGTTGTCTTGAATTTTCTTTTAAGGCATGTTTACTGGCTTTGAGTTTTTCAGCTGTAGAGTACTGGCATTTAAAACTCAAATTATAGATTTATCTTCTAAAAGCACCACAGTCAAACATTAAAAGTATAAAGGAATTGACCTTTCATAGTGCATATTGAATTTCTCATGCTTTCTGCTTCCATCTTCATTCAGAATTGCAAGCTCAGTTCCTGTGGAGACAGAATGTCTTCCTCACCTTTAATCTTCCGTCCTTAGAATTCAATTCTATTTTTCTCTGTTAGTCCTTGGATAAGGTTCCAATATTTTGATTAAATTGTCTTTTTAATTTTAAACACAACATATAGAAACACTCCATATTACAGCTGAATTAATCCTTTTCTTGTTATGTGTTTATTTCTTGTACTCCATCAGCTGGAAAATAGCAAGAGCTCTTGCATAATTATATAATCTAATCTCAATTAATCCATTAACATGAGGAGGAACAGAAAGAAGGAACAGATTTCCTCTGACCATTACCATATATTCCAATAGCATCCAACTTTAACATAAAGGATTCATAAACAATTATTTTTATCAAAGTATTATGGTTTATCAGCCTATATTCAGATAATTTACTCAAAGCTATTTATGCAATAATGCATTGCAACATACATAGTCATCACGAAACAGCATTTGATTATTTGTCAATTATTTTTTGTCAATTTTCAATCCGTCTCCTGTCATTATATAGTTGGAATATTGTGACTTTAATTAACTTTGTTTAAAAAAAACTTCACAGCATTTGGAAGATACTAATAAAGTTGGGGGGGCGGGGTAAGAGTGAATTATGTCACTTTATCCCCATGGAAAGGTGACTGAATGAAAATTTTGGTCTGATAGCAGTCTTAAAATATTTAATTGAACAAATATACATTAGATTAGTACTATAGATGAGGAAGTAATTACAGGAAAGCAAATTTTAGAATAGGTTAAGAAAAACTTCCTTACTATGAGAACAGCTAGATTATCGCAAATTGTTTAGGAAGGCTGCAGAATACTAATATTTGTTTAACATATTTAAAGAATTTGATTACTGATAGGAAATTGACTGGATTATTTTCTTTATTCCTCAGATGAATTTTACAGGTTAGCACTGCATATCTCTCATTTCAAATCTACCTCTGAGCAATCTTGTGTTTGGACAACAAATAGAAATTATACATATTGCAAACAACTTCAGTATAGTCAGTCTTCAGATATTTCAGTGTTAATAGTACAGGCTATCAAATATGTAGCGTGCAAATAATCATTAATTTATAACAGCAGTTGCAACTGGAATTTCTATCATTAAGTGATGCAGCCATAAACTGCAATCCTTGCAGTCCCGGTTGCTGTTATTAACTGAATTTCATGGTTGTTAGGTGAGGCGGCTTAACCAAAGTCATAACCAAAGTCAGTGAGGAAGCCAAAGGAAAGTTGTAAGTCTCAAGCTAGCAGGCAGGCAAGTGGCTATGGCTGAGTGGGAAAAGAAGTATGAGGGGTTCATGGGAGTGTGGGAAGGAAGGTGAGGGTATGGGAGGGCATGAAGGGATGCACAGAGTTGTGATACAAGTTGGAAAGAGTGCAGAAGAGGTACAGCACAGGCCAGGGAAGGTGCTTGAGTGGTTGATGCAGTGCAAGCACAGGCACTGGAAGAGATTGTGCAGATTTGGGTGACTTACCTCAGCAACAGCGGAGAAGTTGGTAGAGAAGGTTGCAAATGGCAATCATGAGTCACTGTAATTAGTCATAAGTGCAAACCAGTTGCCAAGATCAAAATTATGTGATCATGGGGATTCTGTGGCATGGTGTGGCAGCTGAAACTCAAGAGGATGAATCTTAAGCATTATTTGTTCAAATGCCATCACAACTTCAGATGGAACAGATTTGCTGAACAAATAAGTCAATGTTCTTGTAACAAAACACAGATAAGAACAGATTCCAGTATGATTATTGGATACAAGAAGCATACAAGAATTATAGAAATATTTCATTCCTCCTAATAACTAATCAAATATTATTTAGAACAGAGTATATAGGTTTTTACTTTTGATTACACATCCAGAGTTCAACAGAATTAATGTTTTCCTTTTTGAGTTTTCTAATCTATCTTCTATATGTTCTCTAATTACTTCCTGATACTTCTTTCGTATTCTTTCAGCCACTCCTGTGGTTAAAACTCTGGTTAGATCAGGGTAATATTGTACAGTAGGCAAGAGTTTTAGCAGGATTATCTGTAGGAGGTCAGACTGATGTCAGGAACATTTCAGAGTCAAAAGCCCATCCTTTTTTCCGTGTATTGCAATATTGCACACACCCCAAACTGGTAGAGCTTACAATGTAGTGGAACAACACAGCAGTTTCTGTGGATGAGTATTGGATTTAGAATTTGAAGATAGCATTTTAAAGTCCTTGCCAGCTATGAAGATAAGAAACTGACCTTGAGCTAGTCCTAAATTATCTTATGGAATGATTGTGATGAACAAAAGAGGAATATGTATGCTGTTCTAAGCTTCTATTTTTAGTAAAACCAAATCAGAACAGAACATTTTAACTCTGCCACTTCACTGACATATCATTACAATGCTGTCCTGTGTCTTTCAGAGAATAAAAATAATGAAAAGAAAGGAGTGTGGCTTGGCTCGACTACATTGCATTACTTCTTTAAGAGGGAAACATAAAGTTAAGAAAACCACAGAAGTCAGGTTTCCTAAGATGTTTCTTTGTTGTTTTTCCTAAGCTGCTACCCATTTCTTTTGTACTTCTTCTATCACTGCAAAGTATTTCATGATTTACACCTCTGTTAAAGGAGCTGTCTAAACTGAGTCTTATGCCAGTTTATATGATGATTTTAATTACAGCCTGACTTCAGTTATATTGTTTTCAGTTATCCCAAAGGGAATAATTAGGAAGCTCTTTTCTTTCCACTGGTAAACCTTTTAGTTCATTCATTGACTTACTGTTTCTATTATATTAATAATTCATCAGCATCTCCTTAGGTAAATTGCTTAGGCAGCAAACTTCTGATTTCTGAAATACTGCTAGCTGCAGTCTATTTAATCTTAAGGATAAAGACTTTGCTACTATTTAGGGGTAATATCTTCTCACTCTTTTATTTCTCTAAGAAATTAAATAAACAGCCTAAACAAGCTTATAACTTGCCTCTGTACCTTCTTATGCAATTGTTATCTACTTTTTACTGTTTCCCCATCAGACAGATTCCAAGGCTGGTCCTTGCTCCAGACTGATTAGAAAGTCATTCACGGAAGCAATAAAGTTATTGCAGAAAAATGGTGTTCTTTTTCAAAAATCAAACACTTCCCAAAATATGTATTATGTAAGTATTGAAGGCTGTATAGTTTTCCTTGCATCCCACTATATTTACATTCAGTTATGTGGAATATACTGGTGACAAGCTAATGCTACTGGAAAATGAATAGCACAGTTTGAAAGTACTGTTTTATATTATCTGAAATGAGTAGAGTGATTAGATGGATACCAGCAGATTTAATTTCACATGTAACTTTGGGAGTTGCAGATTGGGTACGTTCATTAAAAATGTGGAAAGAAAGAAATCATTTTCTCTTTCAAGAAGAAATTGGAGCTGAGTGCATATAGTAACAATAAGTAGAAATCTTGGAGCTGAGTAGTATTGTTATATGCTGAGTTTATATCGCCATATTTTAGCATAGCACTAGACACCTGTGCCTTTGACTCATTGTTTCAGAAATATTTCCTTACCTAAAGAGAAAAACAAAATGAACATGGATGGGCAAAAAATCAGTGAGAGAGGGAGTGACTTTCAACTGTCTGTCAGCTTGCCCATTGAGTTTCCTTGTGGGAAGTTAGCAGTGAGCATTGAAATCTTCCTTCCTTCCTTCCTTCCTTCCTTCCTTCCTTCCTTCCTTCCTTCCTTCCTTCCTTCCTTCCTTCCTTCCTGATATAAGAATCTCATGATTGTAATTTGTAAATGATTATTTAAATTTGAATCTATTGTTAAGTATTTCTGGTATGTATGAATGTATGAAGCTGGCTATAGTATCTAAAGAGGGGTTGATTTTGAATGGGAGATCTGAAATATCGCTGCATGAAGATTACATGAAAATTTCTTCCCCATTATTACATTCTTTTGAGATTAGAATGTAGCAGTCTCTAATTGTAAACCCAACCTTTCATTTAACAATTTATCCTTACATTTTAGGTTACTGAACAGGATACAGAATTGCACAAAGTAACTCTTGAAGTTATCAGAGATGATTGTAAGAGACCAAAATGTAAGTAGTTCTCACTATCTTAACTGCAAACAAAAGTATATTTCTTATTTGTATAATTCACACAATATAAAAAGTGGAATTATCTGCAAGCTCCTGCTGGAAGTTCTTTATATATTTTCTTATAATTTTAGACACTTCTTGGTTTCTGCATTAAAATATTTGTCTGAGGTCAATTGCCCATACTCACTTCTTTTTACTGTCTTTTTTAGTCTTTCCAGCTGATTCTTCGCATTCTGTATTGATCTAAGTACATTGATCCATTGTGCATTTCTAGGAGTGTAAGTGTCTTTGAAGATAGGAAAGCACGAAACCGAAAAATCTTTATTATGTATTTGGCAATCTGAAATGTTAAAGTTTGAGCTAATTTAAGAAAGCTTTAATGCCTTAATAGATCAAGGTACAAAAGAAACATACTAAAGAACAAAATTAGGAATATGCGAGAATTGCATTTTCTTTTAGGACAGGGGAGTAGAATCAAAACAAGGTGGATAAGAATGACACATATTGTCTTTCCTCATCAGTGAGTCATAGATACTGCTAAATAGATACCTCTACCGATCACAATGGAATGCTTATCTTATGACGTTTATTATATTTGTTGAAGAAACACACACATTTTTGCAATGCTGCTTGTGCTGTTTTAAAAAAATACAAAAAGAATAAGTTTTGTTTTGTGGATTAGGATATCTACTGGAATTCCCGATAGATATCCTAAGCCACAAGAATATCAGATTATTTCTTTTCCCTGAACAAAAGTTACAAAAGCCCTTACACCAAGATGCAAATATTTCCCACCCACCTTACAATGTACTACACCTAAAAGCTAAGAAATAGTACCAGTTATGTGATGAATGAACACCAACCATTTGTATTTTTTTCCAAACAACATGCTTCCCTCTTGCTACCGTCATCCATTTTTTACCTCTTATTAGAGAGAAAATATCCTAAGTGGAATGCAATCATTCCTGATTATTCACTTCTTTGTTTAAAAAATAGACTTTCGTGTTTGAAAATAACAAATATGAGAACCAGGACATGATGTTCTTAAGTTACTCATTTATTCCTCACTGTTAGTACTAAAAGGGAAGTGTGAAAGTGCCAGACCTTTAGTGCCAGCCTCCTAACCAAATGATGGGTTCTGCAATTGCACCAGGAACACTACGTAAGAATTCTATTCTTTAAGAAAGAAGGAAAACAGTCCACCATTTGTAATCCCATGCTTACTTTCTATTTGCAGATGCTGAAAAGGGGTGCCATCTTCGTCACATACTCAGTTGTATTCAGCAAAGCTATAATCCTTATATCACTGAAGCTGTTGTCCATTGTCTCCTTGATTGGTTGGAGATCAACAGTGAAGTTGTCACGACCATGGAAGAATACTATATAGTCTTTTAATCTAAGGGAATGGAAGCCTGGAGCCAAACTTTATTATTCAGTGATCTATAACATCACAGATTTTACTATGTACCTGCTGAGCTATTTTTCTAATTTAGAAGGTGATGCAGAATACAAATCATTTTATTTTGTAGTATTTTTAGTAAATATCATTGTCTGAAGCATTTCTACTTTGTCTAAGAGCAAAAAATACCAAGCAGTCATGTAAAAGTATGCTGCAACTGCCCCCTTGTGGTGGGATAGAATTAAAGAGAACAAACTTCGCCTTTGGACCCCATAGTTAAAAAAAACCCAACAGAAAGCATGTACAGGAAAGAGCAACTTTCTGCCAGAGACCAAAAACACAAAAGTAAAAATCCAAAAATGACAATACAAAAAAACTGAAAATGATAAGTCAAACAAAATAAAAAAAATAATAGATAGAGGAAAAACTTGACATAGCCAAGATATTTATTGAACAGTTTGTGGATATAATTCCTCATTTAGCAAGGTGTAGTGTTTTGGACACTGAAGAATATCAGAGATTCCTTATTTCAGTTCTGTGTTATAGCTCCCTCAAAGCTTATTGAAATTGAGAAATATTATATCGAGAAGCTATGCTATTTAAAATCTAGGATATTTTTTTCCATACAAATTGAAAAACATCCAGCAGAATTAAAATGGTGAAAGAACTATCAATTTATCCCAAACTCTAAGGTCACAATTTCATATGAACCCTGATAGAAACAGTCCAGATTCCAATTACAAGAAAGAACTGGCACAGTCAGGCATTCAGATAGTATTTTAAAAATGTTGATTGGATTTCTTTATTAGTTCTTACTTATTTGAAGAGGCAAATCTAAGGATATTAATGTCAATAGGCATATACTTATTGCCTCTTCTGTCTGTAAAGTTCAAAATTAAATAAATAAGTTTGGGCTCGATTAGAACCACATTTCTGTTTCCACCACAATATAGAGAATGAAAAAATGATTCCTAAAAGAGCTAGAGTCAATTGTGGTATTATTTTATTTTGCAACAATGAATTTGGTTGAAAATGCTCTTTTATCTCAAGAGAGTTGACCCATTAGATTGGTTCATACCAGCAGTTGATGGACCCAGATTGGTTTCAGAGGGACTGGGATATTCCTATTGGTTTGCTGCACAGTCCATCTGAAGTTTCAGTTGCCACTTGACATAAGAGGGCGGTTGAGGCATTGCACCTATGCAAGCACTCCCCTTCTTGTGGAGCCCATTAGTCCCTGTAGTTCACAGAAGAGTTAAGGGAGTTGAAATGAGAGAAGAGACATCTAGAGTGTTTTTGGAATTCAACAGGGGACAAACTCAATCAAACATGGATTTGAGTCACTATTAAGACCTGCTTTGTGATAGTATGGGTGGTAAAGCATCAGTACCCTCTTTCCCATTTCTTACCTAAATAAGCAGAATTCAAATTCTGTTTCATTGTTCTCTCTCGATGCTAGCATGTTTGCACATTACTCATCCTTAGTTAAATAAATCATAGCTAATTTAATTAAGTTTTCTAGGTTCATGTTATTTACTAGGTTCACATGATTAACCAGACTTGCTACTTTGCTCAACAGAGTATTGTAAAAAAAAAAAAATGGCTTGTGGGTCCATATGTCACACAAATTCAGCCATGTTTTCACTAACTGAATTATTTTAGGAAGCCAGTGTAAAGATTGTAGCTAAAATAATTTATCCAGGAGCAATATTGCAATGTAATTATGGAACTATTTTAGTCAGTGTCCTTTAGGGAAGGATAACCCCTTCCTGCGGGGGGGTGGGGGAGCAAAGATAGGTTCCTAAAATGACCAGATTTTAACACATCCTTTCATCAGGTTTTCAGTAAGTAAGAGTTGTGTTCCAAGTGATGCCATCAGTTGAGAGTAACTTGTTTTATCCACAAATATGATTTTGGCACCAAAAGCCCTTGGTATGTCTTTTAAAAGCCACTGGACTTCTTACAGTGTATGATAATCAAATCCATAAATCCAAAGTGAAAAAAAACCTTCAAGTCTGCTGTCTTGATGGAAGCTGTATAGAAGACATATTTCCTAAATAAAGGTTCAGATAGTTTTCTTAAAATTTTAATATTTAACTTTTAAATTAACAAGTATTTTCTTATTTAATATCTACTGTAGCTGATAAAGGGGAAGTTTAGTTTCCCTTTCTTTTGTAATACAGTATCAGTTGTTCATAAAAACAATTTAGTAAGGAAAAAAAAAATTCTGTTATTCTGGAATCTAAAGCTGTGGATCCATTTTATTATCATGTAACGGCAAATCTTAAGGCAAATCTTCAATACTCAAGGACCGGATGAGACTTGATGACAAAAGCGCAACATCATGCACTTTTATTCTTCCATAGAAATTTGATGGTAATCTGTATTATGAGTTGGTAATTATCTAACAAGCAAAAGTAACCTAACCTGCAAATATGTATATTGCCACAGTGTGGTACTGTTGAAACAAACTTGGAAAACTAATACAGGAGTTTCTTTATATATAGTGAAACTTATATTTTGTAATGAAGTTTATGTATTTAAATGTTTAATTATTTAAATACATATTTAAATTTAAGGTGAGTTATGTTCAAAATAAGAGCTGTATGTACTTCATGATTGAGAGAGATATGCTTCTTGAAATTTTAGTTCCTATATTTAAAAAATCTTGTTAGTATTTTTAAAAATTTCCTTTGTAAAAGCACACAGTGAAGAGCTTTAATATTATATTTAGGATACATCTTTCTACTAAACCACATTTTAAATAGGTTTTTTTTTCTAGTCTGGTTTTTGAATTTGTGTTTTATATATGTAGATATAGTGAATATAAAAAGTATATACCTCTGAAAATTCCAGGTTTATCAGATGTAAAAAAATCTGATCAAGATAAATCACTTCAAAATTATTTTAACCTTTAATATAACATATAAGCTGTACAATAGAAAGATATGAGTCTTATTAGAGAAATATTACAACCCTTTACATTGTACCTGTTTTTTATTTGAGCATATCCTTTTTTTGCAAAAATTAATGATATTTATTTATTTATAAAATTTACCCATCTCATGGTGATTTATCATAACACAGTGGAGGCTGTTCTTATTATTTTCCACCATTTCCTGATTAAATTCTCAATTTGCAAACTTTGTAACTTGCAATAGAGCTGGATTAAATCAATATATTCTTCCCTATGGATACTTTCATATACAATGTATCATTTTCTCTTCCTCAGTAAAATAAAACAGTAAAACAATTTTGCAAATTCCTTCAGAACCTAGAGTTTAATTCATTTCATTTTAATTTGATGTAAATATCTGGCTTTCCCCACCTATATTTCACTCAGCTATAAAACCCAATCACCGTGACAGGTGCAAAGGATTGGGAAAGGAGGGGATAGCTTAACACTAATTTTTAATTTTATTAAAAGCCAAATAAAAAGGTTTTGTTGGGTTTAAGTTCCTGTTGAAATAAGATGGTGAGGGGTATAAACTAATAGTTTATGATTTTGTCTGTAAAGGTAACTTTACATCAGCTGATTTTAATCAAACCAATTTATACATACACTTAATCTACACTCTTCTGAATAGACAAAATCTGTAACTTTACTCCCAACGACTTGTGTTTTAAATTATGTATTTCAGTATTGCCTTGGAAGCTTAGACTGGGATTCAATTGGATGCCATACAAAATATGCTGAAATTATCTATGTGCTTGTAATTAAATTATTTAAACAAAAATTTAACTAGTTTTACCAGGTCTATAACTTTGTTTTGTTTAAAGTAGCCATGTTGTAAGAATTGGGACCAGACAAAATATATTTTGGAGGATACAATGCCTATGTTCATACAACACACTTAGCCATACACCACTATGAACAATCTGTAGTTTGCTGTGTTTATACAATATGATGGCTTAAACTGATATATGTAACATATCAGGTGGGTTGTTCAGTTTTGGTTTTGTTATTGTGGATTGTACATATAACTTTTGTTGATTATTTCTAAATTTCCTTGTTGTTTTTTGACACTTTCTATCATTTCCTTCCTGAACCAGATATAAAGAAGGTGCTTATCCTTGATTTACCACCCGTTTAATGACATTTCAGAGTTTATGATGGCCTCGTAAAATAGGCTTTACAACCTGGCCATCATAAAATGTAGTTCCAACCCCCATCACATGACTCCATTTCAAGTGGTTCGCAACTGGCTCACATTTATGACTGGGTGATCCTGCAGTCACATGACCATGATTTGCAATGCTTTTCTCCAGCAAAAAATGCCCATTTGGGAGAATGGATTCAGATTTAAGACCATGTGATTCTGACTAATGACTGTACTTTTGATTAATGACCTCCATAATTAGTAAAATGAGATCAGGTCACATGAGTACCTTGACTTATGACTGTTGTGACTGGTGAATGAAAATCCTGTCCCAGTTGCAGTTGGGTACAAGAACTACCTGATTGAGTTATCTTTGATGTGTCTAACAATATGTTCATGTCGCCACCAGTGCTGGTATTCTACCAGTTCGGTCTGGTTCTGCCAAGCCGGTAGCAGCGATGAGCAGCGGAGACCGAATTGGTTCTCTCTGCCACTCTGCTGTTGGGCCCATCCGCCTGCCTGGGCTCCCATACTCACCTTTATCCTCTGAAATTGAAGTGCAGCTGCTTTGCGTGGCACAGAAGAGTGCTGTGCGGCAGCTGCTGAAGCGACCGGGATTGTGAAGGCTTGCAGGAGGTGAGTTAGAATGCCTCTGCGCCTGTGCAAAGCGTGCATTTGGCATGCGTGCGCACGCAAAGTGCATGCGCGCAAAGCACGCCTACCAAATCACGCCCACTGAACTGGTGGTAAAAATATGTGAATCCCACCACTGGTCACCACTCTTTTTAAGGAAATGCACAAGTGAGTTGTGACAGGGGTAAACAAAATCGCCTGGAGTCTTCCCAACAGAGTCTTGAAGGCAAATCTTCCCCATCCCTGTGCAATGCTCTGATTGGTGGAAGTTAAAACTACTGGATGGTGACTCTGTAAAGAGGTTAGCAATGAAGCCAGAGGAGAAAAACAATAATCTTGCCTGTAATGAGTGTCATATGCATAGATCAGGACAATGACCCAGAAACATGAGGATACGTTAGGGTTAGGAGGATAAAAATGGCAAATATTGTCAGCACCACTTAATGCCATCTTAGGATGGGTGAATAGCATTTTAATTCAGTGGAGGAAAAAATGCCCTAAGACAGCATTGGCACCTAAATATTTAAAACTATTTCTGCACAACAGTGGCTATTAAATTTTATTTCTTTATATAGTTTTCTTTATTGATTTTTTCCTCTAAGAAGGACCAGATTTCTATAGCATCATAGCAAATATATCTTGAAGCCCAGAGGACTTTCTTTGAGGTAGATCATACAATAGCTTATCCCCCCCAGGGGAAAAACTATGCAGATGATATATAGATAGTCCTCAACTTACAGCATTCATTTAGTGACCATTTGAAGTTCTAACGACACTGAAAAAATGACTTATGACAGTTTTTCCACACTTATGACAATTGCAACCCCCTTATGATCAAAATTCAGATGCTTGGCAACTGATTCATATTTATGACCGTTGCAGTGTCCCAGGGTCAAGTGATTCCCTTTTGCAATCTTCTGACAAGCAAAGTCAATGGGGAAACCAGATTCACTTAACAACTGCAATAAACATGACCATAAAATTGGGTTTGGTCATGTGATGACTTAATAACTGCATCATTTAGTGACTGAAATTCCAGTTCCAATTGTTATAAGAATCAATCAATCTATATAATATACACACTTGTATGTATGTATGTATATATGTTTAAGTAGAGTACTAATATTTCTGAGTTATGAATGTGGGTATGCTGAACAGCAGTTTAGCAAGGCATGATCTATCTTTTAATATTCTGGATGTAACATTTTCTGATGCAAACTGATAAAAAGGCTGCCAGTTGAACTAAGCCTTTTCATTGCTGATTTTACAGAATCTCTTACAAGTAACTTTGGCCTATGCTGCAGCCCACCAAGTAGGTTTGCACAGGGCTGGAAAGCCCTGTGTAAAAAAATTTCCACCAGAAATTGCTGAACTTCAACTCCCTCCAGCCCCAGCTAGTTTATGGGATGTTGGATATTTTAATTCAATAATATCTGCAGGGCTAGATTTCTCATCTCACCCAAATAAATAGCTTATGATCATTGGAAGATATCCAACTTTTTTGGCACCCACTAGCTTGTGGCTCTTGAATTCTCTCACGTGGTGGGTAAATCTTCTGGGTATGTATTCGGACCTTTATTTATTTGATTTGATTTCTATAACCACCCATCTCAGCAACCAACTCTGGTTTCTGCTTCATGGGATCATTTGGAGTGGAAGACCTGGTCTGCACTCCAAATGATCCCTGGTCTGCACTGCATGAGCAGCAGCCTCTGTCATCAAAAATACCTGTAACTACCGGCAACATCATTCTCATGAGGTGGGTTTCTTTTAAATTGCATAAAGCGATTCCGGCTCGCTCTCTTTTTCTGCCACACAGCTGCCGCCTCACTTTTTCTCTTGTCGCCAGGCAGCTTGAGGGAGGGACCGGGGGTGGGGGGTGCGAGAAGAAGAAGCGAGCGCCTGAAACGCCAGCTTCTTTCCTCTTTCCCCCTGCCCATGCCAAATCTTTGCCGGCCGACCAGCCGCTCTTAAGTGGCCGCCGCCCGTCTCAGCTTCCCTCTGGTTTGGGGCGTGGAGAGGTGATCGCCCCCTCCCCCGTTCCGCTCTCCTGCCTCCTCCTCCTCCTCCTCCTTTCCTGTCGGCAAACAGCCGGCCCTCCTGCTCAGCCAGCCCTTCCCCACAACCCCTCGCCTCGCTGCGAAGACGACAGCAGCGGGAATCCGGAGGAGAGCTGGGGAAGGGAGCAGCGCACTCGCCCGTCTCCCCATCCAAACCAGCCCCGCCGTATCTTCTGCCGGCCTGCACGTTTCCTCCCTTTCCGACCCCCACCCCCCAGGCCGCTACAGGAGCAATCGGGGCAGCAGCGGGAAGCGTTGTCAAAGATCAGCCGCTGTCAGACAAGGGGCTGGGGCCGAGGATAACTGCACGGCGGCGACTCACTCCGGTGTAGGGCGGGAGGGAGCAAGGGGAGGGGAAAGAGATAGGTAGGAAGGCAGGCAGAGGGGGAGAATAAGAGGAGCGGACACGCACACGCACACACACAATACACACACACACACACACACACAGTACGCGAGATCTGTGTAAAGGGTGTGCAGAACTTGATCCTTTCCCAGAGTTGAGCTCCTCCCCGCTGCCCGTCCGCTCCAATGCGGTCCGAACGAGAAGAGTTTTTTTCCGCCAGGATGAAATATTGGAAGTAACTGAAGACAATTCAGATTTCCCTGCATAGGAGGGAGAAGAGTTTGAAGTGTGTCTGCGCCTGCGGGACGCGCTGGAGTACGGCCGTGTTTTGGTCGTTTCCCGCGTGATTTCTTTTTTTAAAAAGGGGAAAAATAAGTATTTGGGAAAAGCTCAGTCGGAGGTGTTTCGTCTGTCCGTTTTGTACAGGCAAGGGGAAGAAAGCTAGACTGAGGGCAGAGGAGGCTCTGTTTTCCTCGGAAATCCTCCTCGATTGCTGAGGAGCCAAAGAATAAGCGCAGTCATCAGAATACAAGGATACATCTGGACTGTGTTTGCGTTTCCTGGGGACGAAGATGCTGTCCTACACTGTACTGGATGCTAATGTGGTGGACGTGGAAAAAAGGCGAAATCCTTCCAAGCACTATGTGAGTACAGGGTGAATAATGCTTGCAGTGAGGCCTTGGTGCCTATTAGTACAAAGCGCTGCTGGTCCCGACAAGGAGAAAAATCCCTTTTACTGATTTGGCTATTGGGTTTATTACTACAGTGAGCCAGATAGAATTTGAGAAGGAAGGCAGGTGGGAGAGGGTTCACTTGGTATGTGTTCCTTCCCCTTTGCAAACTTGTCTTAGCAGTACCTTTGGTAGGGCAGCAAAAGAGGACAGCAAAAGGACTTTTGGGGGAGGGGCAGTTGTCACTAACAGTGCAATCATCTGTCTAGTCTAGCACATTTCTAGAATGTTTCATGTGGTGAGAGAACCTGAGAACTGGACATCAGAAACCTATGGAACAGGTGGGGGTAAAGCTTCTCCAATTGGATCCAAAAAGCATGCCAAATGGGTATAAGTGTAAAATGAGACCCCTTGTGGCCTCATTTAAAATGGGAATTGGAAGCTGTAGGAAATCCTTTCCTACAGTAGGACCGGGCATGACTGGTTGGTGTAGGACACATTGCTCAACCTTGGCAACTTCAAGATGTGTGGGCATTGATTCCCCGAATTCCCCAGGCAGTAAGCTGGCTGGGGTGTTCTTGGTGTTGAAGCCCACACATTTTAAAGTTGCCACGGTTGAGAATCACCACCAGTAGGAATTGTTGAAATGTTGTTTTTTTTGCATCCATGACTTTTATTATTGGCGGGGTCACCATCAATCATAAGAGTGTAGCCCTGTGGGAGGACCATTAATTGCTGTTCCTATGGCATCACATGAAGCTCATCTGGCACTTTTTATACCAAATTATCTCACCCAACTTCATAGCTGTAACCTTATTGTGCATTTAGTACAATGCTCTTAGGTTCTCTTTGTTCTCTATTTGTGAAACCTTTTTTGTAACTTTATTCTTCTGGAATTCAATGTACGTTTGCTTGGACACTTACTTCAGCCTCACAAA